ATGGCAGAGTTCAACTGGTATACGACCTTCCTCTAGGAACACTGGACTGGTAAGGGACGAGCGCCTCAAGTGAGCATGTGCACAACTTCAGTAAACACACTGTGCATGCGCCCCTCCCAAGTGTTGCCAGGCCACTGCACATGCAGACAGCCCACCCCAACAGAGGAATTAGGGGAAAAGGGACACAACCCCCCCAGAAGCATAAGCATACCAACCTATAAAGCCCCAAGTCAAAAAGTCAAACAGAGCACTTGATCTCTCAAGCTGCCCACTTGGCCCACTTCCAAGTGTACTTTACTTCCTTTTATTCCTGCTCTAAAGCTTTTTAATAAACTTTCACTCCTGCTCTAAAACCTGCCTCAGTCTCTCGCTCTGCCTTATGTTTCTCAGTTTAATTCTTTCTTCTGAGGAAGCAAGAATTGAGGTTGCTGCAAACCCGTATGGATTCATCACTGGTAACATACTTTGGTGCCACATGACTTGGATATGTTTCCCAGTGGTAAAAGACCTCTACACCTCACCTCCTTTGGCTGGAGACGTTCAACACCTGTATGCAGTTTCCTTCTCTCTTTTTGCCTCCTGCTTACTGACCAAGCCCTAGAACAATTCTTCTCAGCCACAGTAGCTCTGCTCCCCACAAGCTGATCACTCAGTTCACACTAATGGGTGGCTCGTAAGAGTGGAAGGAACTTGGAGTTCACACCAAGTAGAAATGAGACACTAATGGCCCTCCTGGACAGGAGGCTCACAAGAGTGGTAGAACTAAAGCCTACTGTGCAATGTTTGGGGTTTCCTCTGCTTTTTCAACTAAAGTTGGCTCTTTCCCCAAAACCACAACCTATTCTCCTTTTTTCTCCACCTATTCACCTCCTATTCACCTTTGTATTCTCAAATGGCCTTGTGCACCAGCTAGACCATCTGCCTCAGGGGCAAGTCTGCTTTCATGTCACATGCCATGTAACTTCTTAAACACACAATCATTGTTATTTGTGTGCCCACGGCTCTTGCTGCATTTGTGCAGCAGCAAAGACATAGGCTCCCTTGCAGATATCCCCTGAGATTTATACTTGTTCTTATCCTACCAGCTCAGATGACCTCCAACTCGTCCCCTGTCTGGTGGCATATTGCCAGGATAGATACAAATTGGAATCCCAGTCCTTATGACTTACCATATACTTTTTGTTCCTGTTATGCTCCAGGGCTAAGTTTTCCAGTGACTTTTGAAGCACTTTGTCTGCCTGCATAGGGCCTCACTGTAGCCCTTTAAGGATCTCACTTCCTTGCTTTTTTTGAGTTAGCACCCCTTTGAAAGGAGGGAAAATTCTTCCTTTGCCATTTGTGAGTTCTTACCTCAAGCCCCAAGTCCTCCAGAGGTTACTACTTTATGTCAAGAGGGCAAATAAACACTGCCGTTTCACTAGCATCTGAAGGCTTTCAGTGAGTTTTATCTCACTTCCTCCCATTGCCTCCATTTCTCTAATCATTTCCACGCCCTTCTTAACATGCATCAAGACTTTCAAGGTCATATTCGAAGGGAGGGAAATCCAGCCACCTTGTGGCAGTTAGCTGAAAAACAGGCTTCTTATCTACTTAAAGAACATGGGAAGGAAATCTGAAAAAAGGGATAATCATTTTGTTGCTACAAGAGTCACCATAAGATGATGGAGACTGTTTACTCCAGCATCTCTTCTGTTCTCAAGTGGGTAATTGTATGAGATGGAACCAAGGTAATGGGTACATAGTAAGACTGGTTCATTCCAAAACCCTAATGACAAATGGGAGATACCTATTCAGGATAACAGGAAAGTAAGAGGGGATGCCTTTGTTTTCCTTTTTCCTATTGTTCTCCTCTGTTCCCTCTTTGCAGGTGGGCAACCATGTCTCTATACCACGGGATATGCCCCTCAGATGCATTCCCAAAACCTGGGAAACGTGTGACTCCCCCAAACCTTTAAATAAAACAAAACACAACACAACAAAACAAACACTATTTTTCCTTTGTAATACGGCTTGGCCTAAAAATGAACTGGGAGAAAATACAAAAGTCAGCCTTGGAACCCAGTGCCTTTGTGCAGGAAATCCTCAAATCAGCCTCCTCAGTATTTTATAACTGAGAGCAGAATAAGGAGGATAGAGATAAGGAGAAGGAAAAATGTAGAAACAAGAGGGATGCTCAACTATTGGCTGCTTTTTATAAGCTCTCCAACCCCTATCCAGGTTGCCCTAAAAACACTCCTTCAGGTAACTGCCATTGGTGTGGGAAGCCAGGCCACTGAAAGGCAAACTGCCCCAATGGGACAAATGAGAAGAAGCCAAGCATAGCTTGCCCCCTCTGTCACAAGCTTAGCTACTGGAAATTGGATGCCCTGAGGGTCAAAGGGTTCTGGGACAAGATCCCAACACCTAATGGCCTTGAGCTGAAGGGGTTCTCTGCTCTGGCTGGCTTCCAAGTCATCAACAAGACAAAGCCAAGAGTAACTCCTGGAGGAGTAAAATTATAAATTTCCCTTTGGGGTTTAAGAGCTGCCTACTCTATGCTAATCTCCTTATGTGAGCAACTCTCCTCCAAATTCTGCCAGGTAATGGGGGCAAATGGCACCTCCTCCCTCCAAAAGAAAAGATTCACTCTCTTCTGGGCAAAAATATGCCTTCCGAGATGGGTGCCTGATTAATATTTACCCAACCTCTAAATTCATCTTTTCCTCTAATAACTCTATTTCTCCTAGAAAGCTACCTAAATCTTAAATAACTTCACCCTAGCCAGTCCTACCTCAAGGATAAAGAACTAGCCCACATTTATTCAGACAAGCCCCAGCAAAAATCTAACTGAGCAATCTCTTGACGGGGGATAACTTCTACAATATGCAGATAACCTCCTTCTTCTCTGCTCCTCCTTCACAATCCTCACACAGCAACATACAGTACAGACCTTAACTTCCTAACAGAAGGAAAATGACTTTAATCTAATTCAAAGGTTATAAAGAGAAAAAGGTATTTTTGGTAAGGAAGATTATAAAGAACACAAGTTTTATATGAGAAAGGATCTTGTACAGTAAATTCTTGTCCTAAAGTAAAATGACTGGTTGTTAAAAAGAGGGATGTTTAGGACAAATCTGAAAGTCCAAGCATGTCATAGATAGTCTGTGTGAGTTGTGAAAAGATTTGTGAAAGGGAATTTATTTTTAAAAAGTTATACAGTTTTAAAGGTTATTAGGCCTACTAAATGCTTCATAAACTGCTACTCTGACTCTTAACTGAACAACTTACTGCCTTTAAAGCTACATAAGGCCTGGGGACATACAGAGTTAGCCATGTCCCCTAGATGCTGGAAAGGGTCAAACCTTTTCTGCATTTCTGTCTAGTATCCTAAGCTCCAAACCTAGTACATAGTCAGAATCACTTACTTAGTAGGTTTTTCACAAAAAGTAAAAGTTGCTAAGAGTTAACAGTGTAGCATATTCTTGAGAATACTGGAAAAGTTTTACATGCAAGGCATGTAAGGAAAGTAGAACGTGGTTTTAGTAAAAGATTAAAAGAAGGCATGCAAATGTGGATTGTTTTGGCCTAGTTTAGAGAGTTAAAGGATTTTTTTAAGTTAGATAGGATAAAACTGAAGGTTTGAGCAAGTTGTGGAAGGTTTGTGAAAGATTAATCTTGTAAAAAAAATCTGTGCATAATCACATTGGCTAAGTTAAAGGAATATTATTCCATTTTTCCATAAATTGAAAAGCACAAGAGTTTTAGTAAAGCATTGATCTAATCTTCATAAATGTGTTATTTATATGTGTTCCAAAATTATGCAAAACTCCTATAATTCTGATATAACTTAGAATATATTATCAGTAATAATTATAATTGTTATGCTACACAATTGTGTGCCACAGAGATAACAAATTTTCTTGGCATCTGTGTCTTTGACTATGGCTGCCCTAAGACTTTTTCTCATTCACAGACAATTGTTGTCTTGTTTTAATCCTCTTTAAAAGGTGGCCTTTATAATCAGCTATAGGACTCTGACAGGCACTCTTGAATGTAGGTTGCTGATAACTTTAAAGAATATAGAAAGAACTTTCAGGACTCTCATAGAGGGCTGAAGTGTTCATGAATGTCAAGCAGAACAGGAGTTAACTGCATGGACTGAACTAATTAAGAAGACTAAAATAATCCTTTTGTGACTTTTTGCTTAAAACATTGCTGATCCTTTGTTTTTCAGTCAAGAAAACTTTCTTTTGAGCTATTTACAGCTTTTAAAAATAAGTACTCCTGTAAACAAAATTTGGAGCCTATTTCTCTCCACCTGATTTCTCTAGAATTTGGAAACTATTTGTGAGTATTCTTAACTTTTGGCAATACAGTTATTTGCATAAATACAATAGCAATCTGTTTTCTTTTGCAAAAGGGCACAATTGGAGAAACTGGTTATTTTACCAAGGGTTTGACTGGAAAGGCATGCTCTACTTTAAGGAATCAAATTTGACTTATAGAACCAATAAAAACCCCTTGGGAAAACTGGCCTCATACCTTGTCTACACAGTCCCTGTACAGTGTTCCTGATCCATGGGGAGTAAAGAATGTCACTTTCTGAAAGGCCTAGGAGCCCTAGGTTATCTTGGGACCTCAAGAGGAGAAGAATTTACCCAACTCATCCCGGCATTTGATGGCAGAAACCCATGGCTGGGCTCAAGGCATTTAAGAAGTCTTATCTGAGATTCCTTATGGAATGAAGTTTGAACAAAGCCAATTTTAAAAGGAGTTTATATGGCAAATAATTATTCTTGCTGTGCTTTATGCAAATAATCAGATCAACTATGATAAGACCAAAGCTTATTTTGCAAACAAATTGGTCCTATCATGATTTGTTTTTAATAAAAATGAGGACTGGAGAGAGAAAAGTTATATTTCAAGAACATAACAGATTATAATCTAATAACTTGGTATTAGATTATATTCTCAGCAGTTGTTTTTGAGTTTTTATCTGCAATTTAGACTAATCCTGCTTATTCCTGTGAACCAACCAGTGATCTCTGGCCGCAGCTCAGAAGAAACAAGAGGAATAGGTAACATAAAACTCTGGATAAATATTCTAATTCTAGGAATACATTGGAATTGGCTAGTAAGCCCATCCACTCAAGTCTTAGCAGGCATGACAATAGCCACCAGTTACCTGAGCATGTTGGCAGCCTCGGGATTTTTTGGAGTCGTCCTCACCCCCTTATCTCATTTTGACATTCTTCTAAATCTAATAAACTGATTTGTCTCCTCTTGCCTTCAGGCCATCAAGCTCCAGATGATCCTCAGTGAAAGATACCATCCTGTCAGTATTCAAGAATCACCCTTCTACAAAGGACCCCTAGACTTCCCATCAATGAGACATGACAGAGGCAAAATCCCACCCCTGTCTCCCTCAGGCCTGGCTGGATACTGTTTTCACCAACGCATGGAGCCATCCTACCCTGACAGCTACAAGAGGTGAAGACCCACAAAACAACCACCACCACCCCTCTATCAGCAGGAAGCAGTTACAGAAGACTGACGTTTATCCATTTTCCCCAAGTAATTGAGGACTTGGACTCTTGAGGGGGAAAATGTTGTGGTAGGTAGGTAGTCAGACATGAGCAGGGCAAGAGAGGGCCCTCTGACCACCGGGAATGTCAGTCAACCATCAGGTGATAGTCAGGCGTTTGTTAAACTGCCTCTGTAACATAATAATTCATTGCAGCAGGTTCCAGGGAAAGGCAGTCCCCCAACAGACAGAAAAGCCTAAAACTGGTGATCAGCTTCCTGATAAGATGGCAGGAATTGGGCAAGTGGGCTCAAGCATATTAAGAGGCAAAATGGCAGGGATTAACTGGTATGTGACTTTGTAGGAACACTCAACTGGTAAGGGAAGAACAACTCAAGTGGGCATGCATACAACTTCAGTAATCACACTGTGAATATAGTGCCTACCAAGTGCCGGGAGGCCACCGTGCATGTGGACAGCCCAGCCTAAGAGGAGAATCAGGGAGAAAGAGATACAACCCCCTGCTCCCTTGGAAGCATGCCAATGTATAAAACCCGAAGTCAAAGGTCAAACAGTGCACTTGAGCCCTGGTGTGATTCCGTCCTGCGCGGCTGTTCTCTGGAGCAGCATTTGTTTATCTCCGTCCACCTTCTCTCCCACCTAAGTGCGTGTTGCCACCTGATAGAAGATTCGATGGACATGGACATGAGCCCCCTGAGGCCCTAGAACTATCTTTTCGGTTGTGAACTAAAGGCCAACAAAGATGATCACTTTAAGGTGGATAATGATGAAAATGAGCACCAGTTATCTTTAAGAATCGTCAGTTTAGGGGCTAGTGCAAAGGATGAATTGCACATTGTTGAAGCAGAGGCAATGAATTACGAAGGAAGTCCAATTAAAGTAACACTGGCAACTTTGAAAATGTCTGTACAGCCAACGGTTTCCCTTGGGGGCTTTGAAATAACACCACCAGTGGTCTTAAGGTTGAAGTGTGGTTCAGGGCCAGTGCATATTAGTGGACAGCACTTAGTAGCTGTGGAGGAAGATGCGGAGTCAGAAGATGAAGAGGAGGAGGACATCAAACTCTTAAGTATATCTGGAAAGCGGTCTGCCCTTGGAGGTGGTAGCAAGGTTCCACAGAAAAAAGTAAAACTTGCTGCTGATGAAGAAGATGATGATGATGAAGATGATGATGATGATGATGATTCTGATGATGAGGAAGCTGCAGAAAAAGCACCAGTGAAGAAATCTATACAAGATACTCCAGCCAAAGATGCACAAAAGTCAAATTAGAATGGAAAAGACTCAAAACCATCATCAACATCAAGATCAAAAGGACAAGAATCCTTCAAAAATCAGGAAAAGACTCCTAAAACACCAAACGGACCTAGTTTTTAGAAGACATTAAAGCAAAAATGCAAGCAAGTATAGAAAAAGGTGGTTGTCTTCCCAAAGTGGAAGCCAAGTTCATCAATTATGTGAAGAATTGCTTTTGGATGACTGACCAAGAGGCTATTCAAGATCTCTGGCAGTGGAGGAAGTCTCTTTAAGAAAATAGTTTAAACAATCTGTCAAAAATTTTCCGTCTTATTTCATTTCTGTAATAGTTGATATCTGGCTGTCCTTTTTATAATGGAGAATGAGAACTTTCCCTACCATGTTTGATAAATGTTGTCCAGGTTCCATTGCCAAGAATGTGTTGTCCAAAATGCCTGTTTAGTTTTTAAAGATGGAACTCCACCCTTTGCTTGGTTTTAAGTATGTATGGAATGTTATGATAGGACATAGTAGTAGCGGTGGTCAGACATGGAAATGGTGGGGAGACAAAAATATACATGTGAAATAAAACTCAGTATTTTAATAAAGCAAAAAAACAAACAAACAAAACAGTGCACTTGATCTCTCAAGTTGCCTTGCTTGGCCCTCTTCCATGTGTACTTTACCTCCTTTCATTCATGCTGTTAACTTTTTAGTAAACTTTCACTCCTGCTCTAAAACTTGCTTTAGTCTTTCACTCTGCCTTATGGTTCTTGGTCGAATTCTTCTGAGGAGGCAAGAATTGAGGTTGCTGCAGACTTGTATGAATTTGCCACCACTAAAAAGGCCAGCCCCCACCTGTAGGCTCAGCCCATGTTTCTGGAATGAATTCTATATATAGACTGGGGAGTTTTTAAAAGTTTAGACCAATAATCTAAGACTCCCTGTCTCCTGGATCCTTTATCCATCATCCCAATCCCATGATGAACACTTGTCTGGATCCCTGGCTGCTTACTTGCAGTGGCCCTCTTTTTCAGATATTATGATTTGTTTGCTGAGCTGGTTTTGTGTTTATTCACAACAGGCCCTAGCCTACTGTGTGTCATAATCAAATATTAATCATAATTCTTATAATCAAGTGATCAAATTCTAGAATCAAAGGAGAAAACAGCTGTGTAAGCTAATAACATATATAAAGCTGGATGTAACAATAAGCCCATACTGGAAGTATAGATGAAGAACATATAAAAAAAGGAATCTGTCTTGAAGAGTAGAGGATGACTTCACAGAGGGATTGGCATGGAAGGAAAGAGAAGACAATTCTAGATAGTTGGAGCAGCAACTCATCTGAAGACATAAAATTGTTAGAAAATGGTATGTTTAGGAGCACAAAGGAGTTGGTATGAGTGAAGTCTATAGGGTATCGAAGCCAGGTTAAGGAATAAACCAGCTGGCAGCTTCCAGGGACCAAGAGGCACTGGAATGACCCAGTAACTAGAATAAAGTGGAGAAATTGTACTTTGTGAACTCTCACTTAGGAAAGACACTAGATGTCGTGGACACATGAGAGAAGAAATACCCAGAACAATCGAGAACGAACAGAGGGCTGCTGACAGCAGTTCTTCACCTTTCCTCCAAGATGGGCTCAATTTCTCCTCCAAGTAATTGACAACAATATTGGTTCAAAGATGCACCAAATGTTGAGTGCATATGTAAATGTGTCCACCTAGCCCTGAGCTACATAACAGAGAGTACCAAAAAATTACACTGAAATGTTAATAAAAGTTCCAGGTCCTGGTCTCAAGTATTTTATGTGTATTAACTCATTCAATCCTTATCCTATGAGGTAGATATTATCACTTCCATATTACAGATGAAGAATCTGAAGCACAGAGAGGTCAAATAACTTTACAAAGTTCACACAAGTATGAAGCTATGATTTACCTCTAGAGTGGCTACCTCTAGAGTCTCCATATTTAACCATCACATTGAGTTTTCACTTTATCTTCTGGGCAGTGGAGAGCTGGTAAGGTTTTTTAAGCAAAAGAGCAATAATTTGTGTGTGAACGTCACTCTGGAAGATTGAGAATTTGAGAACATAGAATAGAGTTGGGAGAGGCTGGACATGAAACATGAGTAGGAGGCCACTGAGCCAGTCACAGCAGGAGACCATGGGGGCCTGAGCTGAGGCAGGGGAATGAGTTTGCAGAGGAAGGGAAATGGAAGAGGTGTCAGAGAGATCAAACCACTGAGCGGTGGTAACTGGTGAGGAGTGACAGAGATGGAAAAATCAAAAGCTTTGATGACTGGGATAAATGAAAGAATAGTGGTTCCAAGGGAAAATATTTGTTTCTGGACAATCTGAGCTTGAGGTTTCAAGTTCCACCAGTTAAAGGAACCCAAGTTAGCTAGTAAAACAGAGACATAAAGCTCTGTGGAAAGTCTGGATTTAGAGGCACGGATCTGGGAGACCTTGTGTAACAGACGAGGCTGAAAGTTCAGGTAAGGAGGGAAGCCCAGGGAAGCAGATAAAGGTATCAGATGAGACCCCAAAGATGGCCAGCATTTAAGCCCAGGTAGAAGAAACAGGGGAAAAAAACTGAGTAGTGATTTGAAAGGCAGTAGAAGAGTAGGAGAAAGTAGAGTTTTGTAAAGCAAGGGAGGAGAAAGTTCTGGAAAAGAGAAAAAGAGAAACAGTGTAAATTTGGCAGGAGGAGCTGATCAGATGAGCTAATAAAGGGTCTCTGAGAAGGCCATGGTGACTTTCTAAGAAACCTACAACTGGGTTCCTCCCTATATCTGCACCTCCAACTCCTCTCCACCTACGGCCCAATTCTAGGGGCCAGGACTAATCTCATGGCACCAGCCCTTCCAGCCTTGACTTTCAAAGCCACAGTTAACCACTCCATACGAGCTGTGATGTTACTCCTCTGTCCTTCACGATGATGAAAATATTGGAACATATTTCCTTAGGCTAGAGATGAACCCAAGAAGACTATCCCGTGGTCACTACCTTTGTGTTTTGATCCACAATTTTCTTCATATTTTTCAACAGATGATTATTTGGACCACCTTCTTTCTCATTCACATACACTATCCTATCCAGGTCTGGAAAGTTCCGGTTCAGATCTATTCCCTGGGCATTGCTTCGACCCACAAACCAGTCTTTGAGTTCACCAGGCTAAAAAAAAAAGTCAAAGAGAAAAAATCATCAGTTGCTTATTATTATTGTCACTTTCTATTTAAGGTCTTTAAAATAACTATTTAAAAGTTATTTAAATAGTTATTTATTAAACAGTGCTCTTTAAAATAACTATTATTTATTTCAACAATGCCCTCCCATATCAGCATTTTTACTACTTTACTTATATAAACATGAAGATATCAAATTTAAAGTACAGTGATGGGCCACGTCATGACATTTCTTACCACGACTGACAGACTATACAACAGTGATCCCATAAGATTCTAATGGAGGTGAAAAATTCCTATTGCCTAGTGACATTTTGATGATCCTGACCCTGTGTAGGCAGTCTGATATGCGTGTTTGTGTCTTCGTTTCTTTTTTTTTTTTTTCCTAAGAGACAGGGTCTCACTCTGTTGCCCAGGCTTGGGTGCAGTGGCACAATCACAGCTAACTGTAACCTCAAACTCCTGGGTTCAAGTGATCCTCCTTCGTTGGCCTCCCAAAGCACTGGGACTACAGGTGTGCACAACGATGGTAGGCTAAGTTTTTATTTTTTATTTTTGCTAAAGACAGGGTCTCGCTATGTTGCTCAGGATGGTCTCAAACTCCTGGCCTTAAGCAATCCTCTCCTCTGGGCCTCCCAAAGCACTGGGATTACAGATAGAAGCCACTGCACACAGCCTGTGTCTGATTTTTAACAAAACAGTTGAAAAACTAAGAAACCATTACAAGTTTTAAAAATAGAACAAAAGCTTGTAGAACAAGGATGCAAAGACAGAAAAGATTTTTGGACAGCTCTGCAATGTGTTGTGTGTTTCAAGCTAAGTATTATTACAAAGAGTCCAAAAGGTTTTTAAAGTTTAAAAGTTTATAAAGTAAAAAAGTTACAGTAAGGTGGCCAGGTGCGGTGGCTCATGCCTGTAATAGCAGCACTTTGGGAGGCCAAGGTGGGTGGATCACGAGGTCAGGAGATCAAGACCATCCTGGCCAACATGGTGAAACCCCGTCTCTACTAAAAATACAATGCTGAGGCAGGAGAATAGCTTGAACCAGGGAGTCGGAGGGCGCAGTGAGCCAAGATCATGCCATTGCACTCCAACCTGGTGACAGAGTGAGACTCCATCTCAAAAAAAACAAACAAAAAAAAGTTATAGTAAGATAAGTTTAATTTATCATTGAAGGAAGAAAAATAGTTTTTATAAATTTAGTGTAGCCTGAGTGTACAGCATTTATAAATTCTCTAGTAGTGTACAGTAGTGTCCTAGGCCTTCACATTCACTCACCACTCACTCACTGACTCATCCAGAGCAACTTCCAGCTCCATTTATGGTAGGAGCCCTATCCAAGAGTACTGTTTTTATCTTTTATGCCGCATTTTCACCGTACCTTTTCTACGTTTAGATATACAAATAGTTACTAGTGTGTTGCGGTTGTCTACAGTATTCAGTACAGTAACATGCTGTACAGACTTGTAGCCTAGGAACCGTGGGCTATATCACATAGCCTAGGTGTATAGTAGGCTACACCATGCAGGTTTATGTAGGTGCACTCTAGAATGTTCACAAAACGACAAAATCACCTAACATTGCATTTCTCAGAACACTTCCCCATTATTGAGAGATGCATCACTGTATTTGTTATAGGTATTTTGAAAATAAGTTCGATGAATAATATTTTAAATGTTAATAATAATAAAGAGATATTTATCATCAAATTTCACAATATATATTCACTAGTTATAAATGACCTATTTCAAAGCACATCATTTTATAATTAGATTTAAGTAAAATATTCATTGCCTCTGTAAATCACAGCAACCTATTTTTTAAAGATTTAGAAGAATAAATAACTAAAGATTAGAAGCTTAAAATGAATTTAACATGCATTATAGACTAATAACATGTCTCCCTCTTATAGTCTTCATGAAAAAATATGAGCTTAGAACAAAATTCTAGGGCTTTATGGTTTGAGGAATTTCTCTCCAGTTTAAACCCTTCATTTATCTGATGGTACAATCTGGAAAATTATTCCAAGATATTTGTTTTATTTTATAATGTGAATTTTCTTGTTTTACTGTTAAATTATATCACATGATATAGACATATTTCCACATTTTTTAAGTCATGGAAGCTTAGATATCTTAGACTGCAAGGAATAAAAATCTATAAGACAGAAAATAGCAATGATAATCTGTTGCCTATATGTCTAAAACTTCTGAATATTACCTTAAAATATTAAATAATTTAATTTTATATATTACTAGAATTTTTCTCTCATAAAACTTTAGAAATCATATCAATTTTATATCTATTTACAGAAATTCGCTGAGTTTCTTACAATGTCAAACTATGTCATTGGATCTTTTTAACTGTAGATAAACATACTAAATATTAACTTGAATGTGTTCTCATGTTCCCATAGACTAAGAAA